ACATGGGTGTCATTTTAATAACAAGACAAGTACCTACAATGTGCTGGGAGCTTTATGGAATCCCCTACCAGCACTAGACAGAGAAACTGAAGCTTTGGGATGTTATTAGCTCAAGTTCGCCCAGCTACAAAGTGGTGGGACCAGGATGTGAGCCCAGGTCACCTGGCCCTTGGGTCTATGAGGGGCAGCAGTGAAGTCCTAGTGTCTGTGTGAGTGTGACATTCTGCAAAGCACAGCTCTTGGAGCCCCACATTCTGCACACAGAGCCCTGCTCCATCAGGCCCTTTGAGTGACCTCACCCATCTGCTTCCTACCTCTCCTTGGTAGATTTTACCTTCTAGGAGTACTGTGAGAATTAAGAAAGTTAACCCTGAATGGCATCACAAAGCTCACTATGACGGAGGATGTGGCCAGTGTGCTGGTTCAAGTTGTAATGTTGTAATCCCAGCCACTCAGGAGGCTGAAGCAGGAAAATCACAAGTTCAAAGCCATCGTGGGCAACTTTAGTGAGGCCTTGTCTCAAAATAAAATGAAAAAGGCTGGGAGAGTAGTTCAGAGGTACCTGGGTTCCATCCACAGTACCACACACACACACACAAAAAGATCAGCACTTGTGAGGAACTCATTCTCGTTCTTGTTGAATTAAATGTGTGGGTGTTCTGGCAGGGCATGCGGTTACTGGTCTGTGTGTGTGTGTGTGTGTGCATGCTTCTGCTGATGTCTTGATCTCTGGGCGTTGTATGTGTGAACATATGTATCCATGTGCATCTATAGTAAATTCTGGGGTCCCAGTGTGTTTTGAGGTATGTACCTGTCCCTGTGTGGCTGTGCACCTGAATTCTCTGTCCCTCTGTGAGTATGAACATGTGTCACGTGTGGTGGGAGTCATATGACGCTGTGCATGTGTGTGTCTGTGAAGCTGTTTCTGTGTGGCTAGGTGTGCTGCTCCTTGTGGACATTTGTCTGAGCACCCACGTGTGACCTGTGGGCCCTGAGTCTGCCTGACAGTGGCTTTGGGGTAGATGTGCCACTTGAGTTGGGGTATGAAGGTCTTCGGGCAGCCAGGATGAGTGCGTGTGTCTCCTTTGTTCCATGCAAGAGGAGATGAGGGGCTCAGACAGGACAGGAGGATGAGGGGGTCACTCCCGTCTGTTGCTGGTGCCAAGTCATTGCTTGCCGGTGGCTGCTGTGTCATCCTCCGTCCCTGTCCCTCCCTCTTGACTGGTAGCAGACAGAGGGGGCGTAAGGAAAGAAGGTGGGGGATGGTTTGAGTCTAGGTTTTTGTCTGGAAATCTCAATGGCCCTTTTGTGACCCCCATACCCCTCCAGCCTTCTATCCCTACCCCTCCCCACTTACTGGAGCTGGGAATCAAGACTCCCCTGGGAACTGGGGAGCCACTTGCGCTGGGCCAGGCTGTGCAGCAGGGGTGCATGCTGGGCTCTCTGCTTGTGCAGTGGTTGGTGGCAACCTTCCTGCTGGGTGCTTCTGAGTTGGGGGCTGTGGCCTCAGAAACACCTGCGGGGCGGTGGTGAGTGCCTGTAATCCCAGCATTCCGGGAGGCTGAGAAAAGAGGATCACAAGTATTAGTACAGTGTGAACAACTTAGCAATCTAATAAGACCCTTTCTTGAAAAATAAATAAAATAAAATAATAAAAGGGGCCAGAGATGTATCTCAGTGTGAAGACTCTGGGGGAAAAGAAAGACAGGCTCCTTCTATATCAAGGGCCCATACTGGACTTGGATTCACTGTGTAGCCAGCTGGCCTCAAACTCATGGCAATCCTCCTGCCTCAGCCTCCTGAGTGTTAGAATTATAGGCATGCATCACCATGCCTGGCTGTGTTAAACTGTTGAACCCTATGTGTTAACTGAGCTGCTATGGGTAAGTAGCCTTACCCTTCTCAGCCTAGGTTACATAGTGTACTAGAAGCATCTAGGGTGGGTTTGTAAAGCTCATAAAGGATGTAAATTGCTAGGATGCCACTATCAGTTATGACACCATTATCATTTACACAATCTCTAGACACAGGTTTTTCAGGATATTTCACCCAGCCAGGCAGGTCAAAGAAATCAGGAAAGAAACAAAGTGTTAGAGCTCTAAACCTGGGCCCTGTACACAGGCCAGAACTTCTAGCCACTCTGGGGGCTGAGGCAGGAGGATTGCTTGAGCCCAAGGCTGGGCAACATATTGAGATGCTCTCCCACAAATAAAACAAGAGGAGGTGTTCCAGAGTTGGAGCATTCTGGATTTAAATTTCTTTTCTTTTCTTTTTCTTTTTTTGGGGTTTAACTTTCTTATGACAGGATCCTGGGCAAGTCATTTAACCTCTCTGAGTATCATTATCCTCTTTTATAAAATGAAAATCATTCAAGCCAGGCACGGTTGTGGATGTCTGTCATTCCAGATACTTGAGAGGCTAGGGCAAGAGGATCTTAATTCAAGGCAAGTCTGGGTAATTTATTTTTAAAAATTTTTAAATTTTTAATTTAATTTAATTTTTTTTTTATAGGTCTGGGTAATTTAGCAAGACTCTGTCTCCAAATTTTAAAAATGTAGCTCAGAGCCAGAGTATTTGCTAGTATGCGTAAGGCCCCGGGGTTCAATACCCAGGACCGCAAACCCCAAACCTGTTTTGAGGATTACAAGTCTTATATTGGGAGGCTTAGCACAGGACCTAGCATCGAGTGCTAAGTACATGTCAGCGGTTGTTTTATTAATTACACACACACACTCTCAATCCTTCTGTTTCCAGGTAAAGTTATGAAGCAGGAGGAAGAGGTTACACCAAGACCACCCGCTGAAAGCTTCGTGTATTTCCCAGCCCCTCTGAAACTTTGTGCCTCTCAGTGGGGCGACCGGGAGCCCAGCGGAGCCGCAAACACACATCATGCACTCAGCTAGGACACCTGAAAGTGAAGGTCAGAAATGGACAACATTTTCCAAGTTGAGCGAATCAGGGCAGAAACTGGGAAGAGCTCTGGGACTCGAAACCCATCTCCATCTTAACCTGGAGAATCACAGACTCATATCCCCGCTCAGGACTCAGTTTACCCGCCTACGTGACTGCACCACTATAATGTCTCGTTTTGCAGATCTGTTCTTCCTCTCGAAAGGGGGAGCTGTACCAGGGGGAGATTGGGGCGGATGGGGGCGCCAGAGATAAGGAGGTGTCCTTTTTTGCCCGGGTCAGCGGGGGCTCCCCGGGATACTTTAAGCACCTATTAATACCGGCCCCCGGGGCGGCGTGGCACTGCGCAGGCGCGGGCGGTTCCGCAGGCGAGCTTGAGCGAGCGAGGGATTCCCTCTGACGTCATTGCTAGGATACCAAACAAACACTCCGGCGCGCCGGTCGAGCTCCTTATATGGCTAATTGCGTCACAGGAACTCCGGGAAGGCGGGGCCGGGATCCCCTCCTGCCGAGTGGGCCGGAACACAGCCCCCGAGACCCCCAAGGCCGCAAGGGTCCTACGGGTGACCAGAACAAGGGTAGCGAAGACCTCCTGATGGGAGGCGCGGGGATTGGTTTAGTGGGAAAGGAGATTTTGGGGAAGTTTGCTGAGTGAGGGGGGTGACGTAAGCAGGGGGGGCGGGTCCCGGGCATATAAATACAGGCTGGCAGCTCTGCACTTCATTCATAAGGCTGAGAGGTATCGCCACGGCAGGGATACACGGAGCCGGGACTTGGGGACTTGGATTATTGTGATTCTTTTTGGAGGTTGTGAAATTGGTTGTTTTTTTTAAAATTCCGGAGAGAAAGTTTCTAGAAGAATTTTTCTAGGTATTTCTTCATTACATCTTGGAAGACCGACTTAACTTTTTCGTCTTATTACTCCCCCTCGGGGGACCCGCCGAACGCGTGGAAGAGACCGCACCCGAAGCGAATTCTGTACAACGGGACAGCGCTTTCTGCCTCTTAGGGAGCGATCCCCGCTCGCTCCCGTGTCCAACAGAGCCTGGACTTTTAGGAGGTACAGCGGCATCCTGTAGCGCCCTGGGTACTGCGGAGGAACTGCACAGAAACTTTGCTATTGGTGCGGGACGCTGCCCTCTCTCCGAGCTTCCCCGGACAGCGCATTTTGGGGACGCGCTCGGCTCAGCCCGGACTCGCACCTTACTTACCCCACCCGGCCATAGCCTTGGCTTCCCGGCGACCTCAGCGTGGTCACAGGGCCCCCCCTGTGCCCAGGGAAATGTTTCAAGCTTTCCCCGGAGACTACGACTCCGGCTCCCGGTGCAGCTCTTCACCTTCTGCCGAGTCTCAGTATCTGTCTTCGGTGGACTCCTTTGGCAGCCCACCCACCGCCGCGGCCTCCCAGGTAAGCGCCGGATAGTAGAGGTGCTGCTTTGTAGGTCTTATTTTTTTAAGTTTAGGATGGCTGGAGTGGGCAACGGCCACTCCTCAAGTAAAACCACGCCAAAACCCAGGATATAGGAGAGAACAGGTTGACAGTGCACTTTGCAAAGTATCGGGAGATATCTGCAATTTGTGTGCGCGGAGCGCGGGGAAGGAACGCAGCTGGACAGGTTTTGGAACGGGGCGGGGGGCAGGGGAATGCGCGCTCAGGGCAACGTGTATGCGGTAGTAAGGCTGATAACTTTTAGCAGGCTCCCGGACTGCCCCCAGTTAGGTCCCCAATCTGAAGTTAGGGTAGTTAGGCAGGAGGGGGAAATCCCGGGGAAGCTATCAGTAGCTTCTACCTTTTTTCTCCTTCCCAGCGCCCACTCTGGCGCCGGGTCACCTACCCTCCACCCTGCGGGAAAGCGGGCCTCGAACCCTCCGCTGCGCTGCCTCCGCCTCCTGCGCGGAGACGTAACGGGGGACCCGTGCGTAACGGCTGACGCGCTGGAATCCTCCGGCTGACGCGGGGCACGCACGGCGCGCGACGCCCCCTTCGCCCGCCCCGCCCCTGACGTCCCGGGAGCGTTCTATTTTGGAACGCCGGGGCCACGTTGCTAAGGGAGGCAGTCCGGCGTTCCGATTGGTTGCCGCGGCGCAGGGCTTTGGCCAATCAACTTTCCCTTCCTATTTGGAGGGCGCAGTTCCCTTCCCCCGACTCTGTCCCCGGAACCGTGGTTCCTACCGCTTGGAACTCTTTTAAGGGCCTCTAGAGGCACAGCGACAGGACGCCTGTCGCGACAAGAACGACCCTCTGCTACCCATGGGTCTGCGAGGCCCTTGCAGGGACCTAGTCTGTCGGCTCTCAGGAGCTGAAGGTTACTCTTTGTGTGCCGGCGTTTATTCTGGAGATGTGGTGACCGTCACCGTCTCTTCTCGGCACACACAGAGACACGCACATTCCCTCTGCCCTGCACCCTGGGTCCCTCCGGCGAGTCCGAAGACAGGACTAAAACAGAGCCGGAGGGGAACCAGCCAGGTGGTCTCCGGGAGCTCCGCCCCCTCTCGGTTCCCAGAACGCTGATTGGTCAGCGAGCCAGCCCTTCCCTCACCACGCCCCCCAGCAGAGTAGTTAAGCCTCCAGAACAATTCCAGGATGCCACTTGCGGGTGGGGGGCGAGGAGCACTGCTGGGGCTAGGAGGGTCAGATCCTACACCATCCCCCTCCGCGACAGTCTCCGAGAGCCGCGCTGTCACTTTTCCCTACCTGCTTGTGCACCTGAACTTGTCACTTGTCAGTTTCACTGGAGAGAGACAGTTACTTGAAACGATGCTCCCAACTCCTAGGCCGGTCTCCCAACACCCTTTTAACTGGGACCCCCGCCCCAGCAAGGACCTCGCACAGAGAGGTGTGCGTATGTGCGTGTGTGTGTGTGTGGAGAGGAGAGCTTAGGCTAAGGCCTCTCCCTCTCCCTCCCCTTGCCTCTGGGGTGGGGGTGGGGTGTTGTGCCTGTGTGTGTGGCTGTGGCTCGTCCCAGGGTTCTGTCACCAGGCTGTGTCCAGCCTCCTCCCCGCCCCCTACACCTAAGAGTCACCAACCCGGGGTGTGATTCACCACCCGCTGGAACCGTGCAACCTTTCCCCGAGGAAGAAGGAGGAGGCAGAAGCCAGTTGAGCAGAAATCCTCTCATTAACCACTGCGTCACGGTGTAGTAGAAGGGTGGGTGTTGTGGCTTTTTGCCTGTGAAACACACATCCACACCCGCTCACCCTGTGCTCACTCACAGGGTCGGTGTGTGTTATGTGTGTTGGGTGTGTGTGTGTCGGTGTCTTTGTTTGTGTGTCTACGCCTGTATGTGTATGTGTCACCCCGTAGGAGTGCGCCGGTCTCGGGGAAATGCCCGGTTCCTTCGTGCCCACGGTCACCGCGATCACAACCAGCCAGGACCTCCAGTGGCTCGTGCAACCCACCCTCATCTCTTCCATGGCCCAGTCCCAGGGGCAGCCCCTGGCCTCCCAGCCCCCTGCAGTCGACCCCTACGACATGCCAGGAACCAGCTACTCCACACCAGGCATGAGTGGCTACAGTAGTGGCGGTGCTAGTGGCAGCGGTGGGCCTTCCACCAGTGGAACTAGCAGCGGACCTGGGCCTGCCCGCCCGGCACGAGCCCGTCCTAGGAGACCTCGAGAGGAGACGGTGAGTGGGGCCTGAGTCAGAAGTTGGCCTGGCAGGGGGAGGAGACAAGAGATGCAGGAACTTTGTCATTATTGGGGGGAGGGTCTGCTAAGGCCTCAAGGCTACAGAGACCTTATCACTCTTATTAGAGTCAGCAAGGACTACAGGGCCCTCTTGGCTCTTGGGGGTCCTAGAAGAAGAGGAGGTTCAGCAGGGATAGAGGATGTGCACTGTATCCCCAAATCTCATGGCCTCTGTCTGCTTTACTCAGCTCACCCCGGAGGAAGAAGAGAAGCGAAGGGTTCGCCGTGAACGGAACAAACTGGCAGCAGCTAAATGTAGGAACCGTCGGAGGGAGCTCACCGACAGGCTGCAGGCGGTAAGGGCGGTCCCTGGGGTGAGGGCATGCGAGGGGTGAGCCCTCCCCTTCTGTGTCCCCCACCTCCACTGTGCCTTTATCCTGGGATCAGAACCAGGGGTGCCTCACTTGGAACTGGGGACAGTGTAGCCAGATGGGGTGGCCCTGGGCACAAACACGGACCCCTGAATACCTTGTCAGCTCCTGGCCATGCCTCCTCTCTTTGCTGATGTGTGACCCCATGCACACTTGTCCTGGGCTTTTTTTTTTTTTTTTTCCATTTTGTGGGGACAAGTGGAGGGTAGCTTCAGTCATCTCTCCCTTTTGGTTTTGACTAAGCCATAACTCCTTTTTGCCCCAGTTGGGCAGTCTCTTCGACCTCCTCATCAAGTATCCCAGGCTTCATCTACCTTTCATTTGAAAGAATCTGTGAAACTAAATTATTTTATCCTAAATTAATTCCCCACCTCCTGCCCCAGCCACCCACAGTTCTCCAGAACTTGGGATGGTGGCATTCACCAAAACCCACTCGTTTCTGCACCCGACCTCAGCCCGAGGTCTCTACTTTATGCCTGCACATGTTGCCCTTCAAGGAAGCCAGAGCACTTCTCTACTTTGCTACTGGGAGGTAGAGGAGGAGTGCTGACAATACACCCCTTTTTAAAGCATTAAAAACACAGAGCAATTGTTTATTCATTCAACAAACCTCTCTGTATTTCCTGCACACCAAAGAGACAACCATATCCACCTGGCTCCCTCCCATTGCACAGATGGGAAAATCAAGGCTCCTAGAAGGAACGACCTCGAGTCCTGTAGTGTGCCAGGTCTCATTTGGGAGTTGCTTGGAGCACCCTGTGCAGTAGCAACCCTAGGGGAGGGACCACAAGCCACATTCTCTGGTCACTGACTCCCTTTCCTCCTTCGTCCTATTTCCTGGGACCTGGCGCTGTGGACGGACCTCAGGAGACAGATCAGCTAGAGGAAGAAAAGGCAGAGCTGGAGTCGGAGATCGCCGAGCTCCAAAAGGAGAAGGAGCGTCTGGAGTTTGTGCTGGTGGCCCACAAACCGGGCTGCAAGATCCCCTACGAAGAGGGGCCCGGGCCGGGGCCAGGCCCGCTCGCGGAGGTGAGAGATTTGCCGGGGTCTGCATCCGCTAAGGAAGATGGTTTCAGCTGGCTGCTGCCGCCCCCGCCACCACCGCCCCTGCCCTTCCAGACCAGCCAAGACGCACCCCCCCACCTGACGGCTTCTCTCTTTACACACAGTGAAGTCCAAGTCCTCGGCGACCCCTTCCCCGTTGTTAACCCTTCGTACACTTCCTCGTTTGTCCTCACCTGCCCGGAGGTCTCCGCATTCGCCGGCGCCCAACGCACCAGCGGCAGTGACCAGCCTTCCGACCCCCTGAACTCGCCCTCCCTCCTTGCTCTGTGAACTCTTTAGACAAACAGAACAAACAGACACACAAGGGAGAGCGATTTGGACGAGGAGGAGAGAGGGGAAGAGACAAAGGGTGCGTGGCCTCCCTAACTCTTGCGTCTGACCCTCTGTCTCCCCCGCCGTCGGACGGAAGACCTCTTGTGTTTTGTGCGGCCTCTTTGTTTCTGTGCCCGGCGAGACCGGAGAGCTGGTGACTTTGGGGACAGGGGTGGGGAGGGGGTGGACACCCCCAGATGCCTGTTGGTCCTCTTGCTTCAGTCCAACCTCTGGGGATGGGCGGGTGGGGTGACGCCCACCTTCGGCGTCCTGTGCTGGGCGGGGTGGGGGAGAGGGGCGCGGGTGCGCGGGGGCCGCGCGGGGCTGGAGCCGTCCCCAGAGAGGCCCAACAAGGAACGCGACTCCCTCGCTGTGCGCACCCCCTCTCCAGGGGGCTGTCCCGGCTGGCTCCCCCTGCGTCCTCGACCCTAGCTTGTTTATTCCACCTTTCCAGGAGGTGCAAGCCTCTTCTGGGCAGAAGTGAGCCCTCCACCGCACCCCAACCCCCGGGAGCTGATGCTCCTTGTGATAATCAGTTCCTCCCCAGACTTATTCTGAAATGTGAACTTCCTTCCCCGATTGTCCAGCCATCCCCTCCCGGGGAAGAAAACAAAACAAACTGGCTAGGACTGGACCTTCTCGGCCCCCAAGGCTCCCTCCGCATTCAGCGCCCCCCTTCCGATCGCAGTATTATTCCAAGCCCCCTCTTCCGTCCTGCTGCCCCCTGGCCGTCCTTGTTGGACCTTTCTGGTTTCAAGCAGCAGGGAGTGCTGCGACACCGTCCTGCTGGAGTGCTTTATACTGTGAATGAGCGGCCGGATTATGGGGTGGGCCGGGTGGGACAAGATCCCGACTCCCCAGAACCTTCCCTCGGCCTTCCAAACCCCTGCCCTCCTCCTCCTCCCCTCAGCCAGGAGTTAGACTCAAAGGAGTGGCAGAATGGAGAAGCAGGGGGCGGGGAGGGGGGCGGTGACAGTGGCCCATCCACGAGGCCTCTCCCTCTTCGGTTCCCCTGGCCTTTTTCTTCAAGGCCCCCACCTTCCCAGCCTAGGACGCCAACTTCTCCCTGTCCTTGGCGCCCAGCGTCGGTCCCTTCTAGAAAGGGAGCTAGGGACTTGACATTTTCCGGAGAAGTTTTAAGGGCTGAGGCTTTGGCCCCCGGACCCCTAATATTTTTGGACTGGCAAACATGGAGAGGCTGGGCTCCCGCAATCCCACCCCTCCACTGTCTCAGCTCCGAACTCCGGTTCTGGCCCTCCCTCCTCCCCTCTTCTCGAGCTTCACTCGTGAGCATTTCATCACGAGGCAAATTTCTATTTTTTAATATGAGAGTGGCCCTGCCACCCTCCTTGTCGCATGGACAACATTCCACGCCCTGGTCCCACGTCTCTGGCCCCAAACCAGACCCTCCCTTACCTATTTATCCCTTCCCTGGTTTCCGAAAGGCACTTATAACTATTATGTATAAATAAATATATTATATATGGGTGTGTGCGTGCGCGTGTGCGTGTGAGAGCTTCCGCATCCAAGTGTGCTGTGGAGTTGAAAATGCTTCTAGAACTTTGACTCAGTCTGCTTTGGGCTGTGTCTGTGTGTCTCTAGGTGTCCCTTTTCTGCTGGGCTCAGCCCCTCTGGCTGGTCCAACAGTCTCTGGCCGTCTCCGAATGTTGCTCCTCTGTCTCTGACCATTCCCACCTGCCTCCTTCCTGACTGTCCCTGATCCTGCAGCTGTCTGCTGACTGGGTTCGTTGGGGACCTGAGATTTTAGTTTTGTGAGTAAGTCTGGGCGATGGTGAATTTTTATAGTCTGTATCGTTGAGAGTCCTGGGTGTGAGTGCGAGTTTGGGCAGGGCCTGGCCCTGCCAACCACAGTTTATTGAATCCCCAACCTCCCTTCCACCCCATGCTGTATTTGTGACTCCTTTTTTGTATTTTGCACCTGAGCCTGGGGGCTGGGGTGGCTGGTACTGGGCTGCTCCCCTCTCCCCTTGGTTCTGCACTGTCGCCAATAAAAAATTCTGAAAAATGCATCCACCAGGCCGCATTGTCTATTTTTCACTGGGCACCTAATACTTGGCTTTCTTTCAGCAAAAGAGAGTGAGGTTAGACACTAAGACTACCCACGCACGCACGTAGGTACGTACGTACCTACGCATGCGCACCACCACAGAACTCCGCAGTGAACCAGCTTCCTGCAGGATGGATGGAAGGAGGCCAGCGTGGTGTCCCACGGCTGTAATATCAGCACTTGGGAGGCTGAGGCAGGAGGATTGTTGTGAGTTCGAGGCCAACCTGGGATACAAACAGAGGGCAAGGCCAGCCTGAACTGCATAAGGAGAACCTGTCTCACAAAGACCAAAATAATAATAATAATAATACCAATAATAAGAGCGAATCCCGATGCAGACAAGCCGAGCTTCTCACAGGAAAAAGTTAAGGAAGCGAATTTTAGCTGTGAGGTCTCAATATGCTAAAGAATCTCAGAAGATTGTGGTGAAGGACACATTTTAGCTGGAGGTTGGATGCCCAATGGCTTCAGCAGAAGTTAAAGGGGTAAAATAAAAAGCTTCCCTAGAAGAGGTTCAAGGAATCTGCACTCTCAACTGCCAAACACCGTGCCAGCTGGGTTCAGAAACGTGGCTCTCGTACTCTCAAGATGTTTCCTTGAGATTTTCTGCAACAGTCTCTTCTGGGTTCTGAACATGGTG